CGGGTTAGCCCGGTTTGGGAATCCACCCCCCCCCCCCCCCCCACCCCACCCCCCTCCCCACCCCCCCCCCTCCCCGCACCAACTCACGCATCGTTGCCGGTCTCCGAAGCTCCCTTCTCGTTGTAACTGGAGTCTTCGGCGTAGATACCACGGATTTGTCCATCATCAACGTCGGTACAGCACTCTTCTTCCGAGCGACGCCATCCTCTCTCTCAGCCCCCACAATGCCAATCAAGCCGATATGGCCTGCCTGTGCGTATTCGTGAGACAGACACAGATAGTCACAGTAGTTGCCCTTTAGTGACGGCGTGTTTCTTGATCACACCCCTTGCTTTTAGTTTAAGAGTTTGGCGAGCTGCAAAAAAAAAGTCAGTTTTGGCAGTAAAATAGCTCATCATCATCTGAGAGAGATGAGTTTTTTTCACGAACAAGCGACACTCGCAGGCGAGCGATTGATTATGACGCCAGTTGGAACACATTCGGAGCCCTTTTACTCTCTTCTATTCACCACTCACTCTCCTTCTTGCACTACCTCCCACCTCGTCTCTCTTTTCTCCTCCTCCTCCTCGTCCACCACCACCACCACCACCTCCTCCTTCACTAAAAGCACATCATCTATCGTTGAGTTTAATGTGCTCCCTATCTGTCTTGTCATATTTCTCAAAATGCATACAGGCAATACTCCCTTCGATCTCGGTAGCTCGTGTTTGTTTGTTGGTCGACCCTCGGAGCTTTTGCTCCTGTATCACCACTACCGTCACGCTCACCGACCCTCAAATCCAAGATTGAACTCTTTTCAGCTGCCGGAATGAGGTACATGTGCGTACCCTTTGCACGTGGGGACGGTGTCAGCGGAGCACCACTCCTGTCCTGTGTGAACGTATGCATGGTCGGTCGCGGTTCACGCGGGATGCCAGTTGCCAACCGTACACTCAACCAAACATACAACGTACAAGCCGCATCCCCACCTTACACATGACGAAACTTTTGTAACTGCGTACGTACGTACTGGTGTCCTTAGAGGAAGGCCGAAACGAATGCGAAAGACAGCCTGATACCGTATGTACCGGTGCCTCAGATGGACACCACATAGATAGTTTGTTGTCCTTGTCACGCCATAGCCAAACTCGCCTTCAAACATAAGACCACTCGCTGCATGGCAAGCTGTTACGTACCAGCCTACGTTGCCGTTACCGGTGGGCTTCTAGCCATCCACGGTACCTACGGTACCTACACGTACGTGTGGTTCTACACTGGCCAAAAGCATTGTCAACTAGCGTGTGCAGCAGACCGTGTGTGTGGATATGTATGCCTACACTGGTATCAGTACTATGGTACCGGTCGGGGAGATGGCACCGGGGTGCGTGCATAGAACATCTGTGTGTATTTCATCGTGGATGGCACCGGTCGGAGAGATGGCACCGGGCGGGGTGCCTTGAAAAAACTAAACGAAATGATCTAATTACATTTCCGCACCGACCGGGGTCGGAGAGATGGCACCCGTCGGAGAGATTGCACCGGGTTGTTGTTGTTTTCGTCCTATTATTATGGAGACAGTCCCCCCACTTTTCGTGGTGCGATAAAAAACCCGAGGAATACGATCGCACCCGGTGCCATCTCTCCAACTATTATTACGTACAGACGGTAGATCAATCGGGCGACTATCGCCGCGCACACCCAGACAATTAATACGATTTCCCTGTGACGGTGACTCATGACCAAAGCACCATCAGCTTGAAGTGCGCATCTATATAGTGTAGGCGGGGCAAACCCAGCCGTAGGAGCACGAGTTTGATTGATGTAGCCGATCGACGGCTGCGACGAGTAGGCGGCACGCCTGCTTACAGGGCGCGGATTCCTAGCGTTCGCAACCCCCGCAACCTCAGCCACCAGGGACGAGGAAATACCACAATAAAGTTCGGGACCACACCGTAATTGAATTTCGAAGGGGATCAGATGTCTTTTTTGTTCGCTCTCCCGAAAGACTATACTTCGTGCTTGCAGAGGGTTCTTTAGTAGTCCAATAACAAAGGTACCGACCGGTAAGATGCACACACAGGCAACAATATGTACATGTAAGATTTGGTCACTTTTCATGCTTCGGCGTTTCTTTCTCTCGCGGCAGCGAGCCTTTTATCGCAATTCCTTCTCAGGGGCACGCAGGAGGCTCGTCGGTACATTAACGCCCGCGCCCGGAGCTCGGTAGGCCTCCGTGGCGCGTGTGGTTGACGGCCAAAGTTGCGAAAACTGGCTCAAAACCCCGGGGACGGACGCGTTCCGCGCTGACAAAGCCTGGCGAACCAATTCTGAAACCTATCAAACCCATCAAGTACGACGGTTTGAAATATTTGCCTCTTGCTTCTTATCCACTTTCATTCGTGCATTCATTCATTCATTCTTACGATGATTCATGGCTGTGACTCTCTTCGTGTCATCGCATTTTGTCCAACAGCAGTACCTACGTTTACTTACACTTCGCAGCGGGCGAAGTTTAGACAAGTCTGAGAGCATGCATCCAGCCGCAGTGTTGAACATGTCCCATTTGTGGTGTTGTTTCCGCTTCAAATGCGGTTCCCACATCGGAAATCTGCCATCATCAATCAAAGACATCATGAAGTCTGAGTTTTCGCTGCCAAAATATTGTCCACTCGAGCTGGCTCCAATCAATGTCGAATATAACAAAACAACGTGCGGGATGTTTTGTGCGGAAATACAAGCGTTGTAAGACATACAGCCCCTCTTCGGGCAATGCGTATGTGGTCTTGCGTCACCTGAGGGAGGGTAGACACCCACGTCCCGAAGGGAGACCTTCCTTGTAGTGCGGAAAATAATTGCGAGTTTCGTGTGCAAGGGGTTGTTGTTGTTTTGTTGTTTTTCTTCACATTAAACTCGTGTCAGTTGCTAATTAAGGAATAATAAAAACACACGCAGAAAGACTACCCATTCGAGATATACCCACAGCAGTCGAACGGGATGTGGTGGAGTCTTTTCAGTGAGTGGAGGGAAACCGGCTGGGTACTGGACTTATTTCGAGTCTAATCCCAAAATCTAGCCAAGGTCAACGTTTGTTTACGCTGTGGCATGAAACGAGGAAAAGACAAGAAACATATATATATGCAATATTCTCTGTCAAGAGCAAGAAATGGGGGCATAACCAGTACAGCTTACATCGCTGCGGTAACAAGGTGTTGAGCCTCGCCTAATATAGGTGTGTTTCTTCGAGCCGGCCGGCTTCGATCTGTCTGTTTTAGTGGACGTCGTCAGTTACACGTCACACGTAGACTATAGACTACGTACGCGCGTTTGTTTTTGTTTACAACAATTTGTTTTCGGCCACTCATACCATGTATGTATGTACAGATAGATGTGGCAACAAGAGTGCTCTTTGTTGTAGTATACGCGACATCCCATCTGCTCTGTGTGCTGTCTGCCTTCCGGACCGTCCCGTCGTCGCGGAGTAGCAATAAATATATACTTCAGTATGTGATGAAATGAAAGCAACATGACCGACCTGTCTGTCGTGGTGGGCGGGTGGGATAGTCTAAAGGTCCATCAGTCCTCCTAAAATCCACTGTAATAAACTCCTCCTGTTTTACGTCTCTCTTGCGCATCTGGCTAGGGTCTGCAACCAAGCACCGTGCTCATCCACTGGCTAGCAGTATCCCAGGATCCCAGGTGATATCTTCTCTTGCTGTGCTCCGCTCGAACGAGAGCTGCATGCCTCATTCTTGGATCCTAAACGGGCGGGGGTGCCACAAAGAACGGTCTCCGCACCACTACTCTGTAGCAATTGCTGTGCTTTTGTCCAGGTCGCCACGCTCTCTGTACTCTCTGCACCACATCAGTGAGGTCTACACAGCGCCCTGACTGTATCCTTCGCGCTCTTGACTTTTAGTACGTATCTCGCTTCCCCAGTGAACGATCGATTATCGAATCGGCGAGATTTATCATCGGACCGCCCTTCAAAAGCGTGGAATAACACCCCCCCGCGCGCCTCAAGAATTGTTCCATGATTTCGTTCCTGCTGGGAGCTTGAGCCACACACAGATCAGGCTACAACACAAAGCAGCAGCTAGCGGGTAGCGTTCTTGCTCCGGAGCCAGGGCAGAGCGTTGGTAACGATGGTACTCGGGCATGGGTTCGGCCTGCCTCTGCTTCTTCTGCTGCTGACTACTGGGAATGTAGCTGCCGCCTCCACGAGGGGATGCAAGCGGGCGGGTGAGCACCTGGTTGTTGGAGTATGTATTGCGTTCATGAGGCGTGGCGTGCGCGTGCACCTGCAGCTAGCTGTTGCTGTGCGCGCAGCAGTAGGAGGGAGCTGCTGTTGGGGGCTGAAGATCGGGCCAGGTGACGTGGTTGATATACGCGTCCCTTGAGCCGGACACAACGACTTTCTGAGAGAGGTGTTATTCGTTATTCGTGCAACATGCACATGCGGTGGAACGAACGTACAACGACCACGGACGCGCCGCGTGTGCAAGGTGCAGCTTGTACAACCACAAGTAGTTGGAGTTTTCTGTAAGGCGTGAGCGTGAGCACAAAGGCCTTCGGAAGCGGGAGGTGTTGGTCAGACCCTGCCTGTCCATACAACTCAAACCTCCGTGTGTATTTGTATCTACGTTCCTTTGGGAGCCTCCCGTACTTGACGTTAAGAGAACCTCGCGCGTCCGCACGATGGGTACGTACACAGCCCTCCCGATACAGCAGTACGTTGTTTAGTCTACAACTGTTGAACTGTTCCATTCCCTTCGGAGCGGGTTGCATGTTCCAGTTGACTGCAGAAGCTAGTCTGTGTCGCTGCCTTACTTGTTCGTGCGGATTGATCGTTTTGTCAGACTGTGTTCAACAGCTGCAGTCTAAAAACACCTGCATTGGTGTATGCGTGTTGTAGTTCGTCTGGGGTCGTCGTTCGTGTTGTACGCTGCAGCCAGCTGCTTCCTCCCTCTGTATGCGCCTCCCTCACGCCGATAGATCGTTCTCAAACGCGGCCCCGAGGGACGATTCTATCCGGCAGTATGTAGGTTACGAATGCACTGATTCTTGTGCGCGGGAGGTGTATGAAAGCTGCTGTAAACACTAGGTACCGTTCGTAGTTGTAGTTTCTCGACGAGAAGACGATCGATTGCCTTTGATAGGTCACACAAGATATCACCCCCCCCCCCTTGACCGATTTTCAAGGCTCTCGGGCATTCCACAGCAAAAAGAGTGGTTGCAGCGTTGAAATCGTCTAGTCGAGAGCTTTCCGACCATTTATCGTTTGTGTCTTACACATGCTCTTCATCGGGTGGAGTACAGCAGTAATCGAGCCTTCAGAATCAGTCCAGGATGTTTTGTCTGTGTCATCTACGGACGGTATGATGTGTCGCAGGCAATTGGGCCTTGGGTGACCTCATGTGTACCGTAATAGTCGGAGAGATGGCACCGGGTGCGATCGTTTTTTTTAATATTTATTCCTCGGGGGTTTTGTGGCACCCATCTCTCCGACCAGTGCCTCTCTCCGACCCCGGTGCGGAAATGCAATTAGATCATTTCGTTTAGTTTTTTCAAGGCACCCCGGTGCAATCTCTCCGACCGGTGCCATCCACGATGAAGTACACACAGGTGTTGTATGCAAAGACCCCGGTGCCATCTCCCCGGCTGGTACCATAGTATTGATACCAGTGTAGGCATACCCACGCACACACACGGTCTTCTGCACACGCTAGTTGACAATGCTATTGATCAGTAAGATCCACACGTACGTATAGGTACCGTTGTTGATGGTTGGAAGCACACCGGTAACGGCATCGTAGGCTGGTACATAACAGCTTTCCATACAGCGAGTGGTCTTGCGTTTGAAGGCGAGTTTGACTATGGCGTGACAAGGACAACAAACTATGTGGTGTCCATCTGAGGCACCGGTACATACTGTGTCAGGCTGTCTTTCGCTTTCGTTTCGGTCTTCCTCTACGGATACCAGTCAGTGCATACGCAGCAGTACTACACTAGTTTCGTGTTGTGTAAGGTGGGGTAGGGTGCGGCTTGTACGTTTGTGTGTTTGGTTGAGTGTACGGTAGGCAACTTCCATATACCTCGACCATGCATACGTACACACAGGACTAGGGGTGGCGCTCCGCTGACACCGTCCCCACGTGCAAAGGATACGCACATGTACCTCATTCCAGCAGCCGAAAAGGATCTCAATCTTGGATTTGGGGGTCGGTGAGATCGCACCGACCCCGGGGCGTAAATCGAATAAAATCATGCCGTTCTTGTAGTTTTTTGCGCACCCCGGTGCCGTCTGCCGTCATGGTATGCACCGAGGTCAGGGAGGAACCAGTAGAACATAGATGGAAGTGGGGGATCGAGGAGATTGCAGTAGTGGACCAGTACACGTACATACCTCGGAGAAGAGATCGCAAAAGACTGCTCGTGGAATGCACACATGTCCAAGGTAGCGGGAAAAGGCAAAGCACGAGCAGGGAAGCTGCACCCAATACTCGCAACCCGGCACCTCGATACACGCATCGAATTGACGGTTTTGAAGAGCGTAATCGTACCGCCGCTAGAGTACGCCGGAGAAGTATGGGAAGGCAATAAGAAGGTAGTGAAAGAACTCGAGGCGGCGCAGATGAAAGCAGCGAAAATCATCCTAGGATGCTCCAAGCGCACAAGTAATGCAGCCGTCAGGGCAGAATTGGGGATCCAATCCCTACGGTCGGGAAGAGACCCAAGGAAGCTGACATGGCAGTATCGCATGTGCGGGATGGGAGAGGAGAGGTTGCCGAGAATAGTATGGGAGGCGAAGTGGGCAAACAAAAAGAGGGGTAGACAACCCACGGAATGGGTCAAGGTTGTAGAGGACGTATGAAAAGGGGTTAGACATCGACGAAGATGAAACGCTGGAAACGGAGGGTTTACAGGGGTCCAAGGAGAAGATATCCGTTGCTTGTGCCGAGAGAGAAGAACAGAATCTAAGGAAACAAACCAAGGATAAGGAGGGTCTAGAAGTGTACGGAATGTTGAAAGAAGGAACAGGGTTCAAGGATTACCTACATGGACCAATGTATGCAGGGACAAAGCTTAAGGTCAAATTCAGGACCGGGGACATAGGCCTTCGAGAACGTCGACGAAGACATAGGACGGTAGACTACGAAGACGACAAGTTCAAATGTGATTGCGGCTTCGAATGCGAAGACCGTGTTCATGTAGTCGCGGAATGTCCGTGGTACGAAGAGGAGAGGGAAGTGTACATGACTGAGCTGGGAAAAATGCAAGGGACGTACAGGGAGATGTTTGAGGCATGGAATAGAGAGGAGAGGACGGTAGCTGTACTGGGGAGTAGGAAGTGGTTTGAAAAGGCGGGAAGGGATATCGTTAGGATAGACAGACTGGGGAAGACATTTTTGAGCCACCTTTGGCAAAGTAGGAAGGAATGATTGGCCATCGGTGATCGGTCCTGTGGGAACAATGCTCCGTCCTCTCGAGGACGCGTGGTCAATGGTCTAACCGCTAAGGCACGCAAAACATAAGAGTACGCCCCCCCCCCCCTCGGTGCCATCTCCCCGACCGGTGCCATCTCTCCGACTATTACGGTAATGTTCTCTTCTCCTGCTCGTGCAGCTGCGTCGTTAGTACGGCGAAAACTCGCGAACGTTGGGTGCCAAGATTTTTTGTAGTGAAACAGAGTTGGTGTTGATTGCGCACAAGTGTTCGAGTTGAAAGCACAACTCACGGCGCAACAACTGGTTGTAGCGGTGTTTTGAAGTCCTCTGCAAGTGTCGTGACAAGACCGCGGTCTGTGCCAAGAGTTTCAGCGTTGACCAGCAACGAGACCTTGAATGCGCTGAGCTGTAAAAGCTTATAGGGGTTCCGGAGAATGGTAAATTATAGGGCAGTACATGGTACACGTTCTCTAATATTTGATTTCGTACATAGGATCAACCAAGTGTGTGATGTTGAGACGTGGCAATGAGAGCTTTACAACTTTTCCGGAAGGCCGAACGGTTGATTGGGAATCGTCCGCGAGACACACTGGCCGAAAAATCGGGAAGAGACGACACTTGGACAAGAACGAGTTGCCGGCCATGTCAGGGTGCTGAATACGCAGCAGTCATCGATCCGGAGTCTTGTGGTGCTGCTGGTCGCGGCTCTTGTCAGGAGGCCCACACAGTACTCTTCGCCCCGTCTCAAACGTTGCGTGAATCCACCAACCCAAGACATGTGTTTGATGTCTCCCCTTCCCCCTCCGTGCCTCACGCCCAAAACTGAGAACAGGCGGATTGCTTTCGGGTAGCGGCGATGCGGGCAGGGTCAGGGGCGGTAGCGACGGCCGCCGGTTGTTCGGGCTGACCAGAACCTTGAGAGGAGGTGGGGCAGCAGGCGAATCCGACCTGCGGCTCTCGACATCGTCCACGTCGGAAGCCGCGGCAACACTAGCGACCTCCTTCGTGTCGAGACGAAAAATAACGGCGAGCGCCACCGAGCTCAAAAACGCGGCGGAACCGGTGTCACTTGGGGGCGTTGTGGAAGAAGGGGACGAGGACGAGGAGTCGGCCGCCTTGGTCGTTGGTTCGGCGGAGGGTTCGCGGTTGTCGGGGGCGACGCGTGTTGGGGAAGGGGTGAAGGTTAGGGGGGGGGTGGTGGCCGGGCTGATCACTAAGGTTTTCGCCATCGAGAAGCACGAGCTGCGGAAGTTCCTGACCATGTCGGTCATGATGTTCGCAATCATCTACGTCTTCACCATGACCAGGTGATACTACAATATGGCACAGATTTTTGTGAATGGGTGTGTGAAGCATGCGTTTTTTTTTTTTTATGTGTGGTAAAAAAATTGCACGTGTTCCTGTCATAGGCGCAGGCCGCGCCGAACCAATGGTAACGCACAGAACACGGAACAGTTGAGGCTTTCTCAATCGTGTTGCCCCTCGAGGTGTGGAGGAGTGTGGGTGCCTTTTGTTTTGTGGCAATTAACTCCCTCACGATGCGGTCGAGGATAAGGATATCACCTTATGCTTGGGGCTGCTGTAGTCGCTGCTTGAACGTGGTGAAGTACAAAGGTGCTGTCTTGTCTCTAGTTTTCTTGGCTCTCCATGTTCGGCCTGCGGATTGTTAAAGGAAGAGGCTTGCGTGGACCCGGGAAGCGATGGAACCGCGACGATGAAACCGTGCAGTACGAGCGAAACGGCACAGCCCAGGCATCCGTTTTTGTTGACCGAAAGGGCGTGGTTCGGATTCCCCTGCTTGCTGCTCTTTGGGCCTCCTCGCGCTGTTGACGTCGCTGTATTGTAGACGACGCCTGTGTGTGTTTTCTTAGTCATTATTGATCGTGCTTTAGCCGGCTGACCAATGGAAATACGTCAGTAGCGGGATGAAAAACACGAACACTTCCTAGTGGTGGGGTAAGAGTTCACCGACAGGTAAGTGCGTGTCTTTAATACAACCGGCTGACCAATGAAAATACGTCGGTGCAGCTGGTGCAGTCAACACTCCTGGAAGGGAGGCAAAATTCGAAGAACGCGCGTGCTTGTGGTTTCTCGCCGCTATTTACGTGTACAACGTCGTTTGTCCAACGTCGTTTGTCTACGATGTTTTATTTCTCTTGACAGGGACACGAAGGACGCGCTGGTAGTGACCAACTGCGGGGCGGAGGCAATCGCCTTCCTCAAGGTATGTAACATAATTAGATCGCCACAGCGGAGACAGCTACGTCGATGAGCGTTTCGCGACCTTGTGGCCTGCCGCGCGTGCCTTCTCCTCTCTTTTTTTCGTTTGTCCATCACTTTTAATCAGTCTGTTTTTTTTTTATGGCGGCGTTGCCCCCAAATGCGTTGGTGGCAGTGCAGGCTCTCTTCGCCATCGAGACCGCCGAAAAGCCGTAGCAGACGTTCACAGGGGTAAAAAAAAAGAAGGTAGCCACAGCGTTTTAGGAGTCGAGATGGCGATAAAGTCGAAGCCGGAGTTATGGCCCCGATCGTTGTTGCCCTGGGTGGACTTTTCAGCTGTGCTTGTGCGCAACGCACAAATACCCCCCGAAATCGCGCACCGTCTCCTGGTACCCGTTTTAGCATAGAGCGAGAACCAAGCCTTGACGAGCTGAAACCCAGCAATTTTGACACACGCACGCACAGGTCTACGCGGTGCTGCCTGCGGCGGCACTGTTCATGATCGGCTACAACTGGCTGTCCAACCACGTCGGGAGCCGGGCGCTGTTCCACATGACCATCACGCCGTTCTTCGCCTTCTACGCGTTGTTTGCCTTCGTCATGTACCCCATGAGGGGGATCTTGCACCACTCTGCTGGTGCGTCACCGTTGGTACTGCTGCTGCTGCTGTTGTCGTTGTTGTCGTTGTTGTCGTTGCTCTTTGGTTCTGCTGTGATTGTGGTGATGGTGGCAATACCCCTAGTGGGTACAGAATCAGCGGCGGTAGTGTGTTGCGCCTTTCTCCCTCTCTGTCGCAGTGCAAGCGTCACTAGGACTTCACTTTTCCCAACAGCAAATAGAGCGCTTGCAGGGTCCTTGTACCGCGATTACGGTGATGTTCGGAGGTCTTGTAGTACCGTTGACAATCTGTGTTGTGTTGATGCTGATTTTGGTCAAGTTACGTGGTGATGATGAGCCTGCAAGCGCCAAACGAACGCGCGGTGTAGTTGCGCCCTTCCTTGCTGTGGCCGTGACCCGCGCGCTGCTGCTGCTGCTGCTGCTGCTGCTGGTGGTACTGCTGGTGGTACTGGTACTGCCGCATCTTCATCAGGGGCGATGGGCAAAGACGAGCACGTGTTCTCGCACATGATCAACATGGGGCGCTTCTGGATGTTCTCGCTCTACTACGTGGTCTCGGAGCTGTGGGGCTCGGTAAGATGGTGCATTTTCGCTTAGGAGAGGTACTTCGTCCTCCTCCGTTGTCTTGGAACAGTCGTTTTTCTGTACAGGCTTTTTTTTTATATATATTTCTCGACAAGAGCTTTTGCCAAAGCCGCAACGCCGCGCCCCGCCGTGCGATTATCGCGCTCTGCTTCTCCTGCTGACAAGAGTACCAACGGTCTGTCCGCTGCTGTTACGTTGCTATTTACTTGCTGCTGCTCCTGCTGCTGCTGCTGCTTTGCTTTCTCCTGCTGTTGCGTTGCCACTTGCCGCCCCTGATACTGCTGCTTTGGTTCTCCTGCTGCTGGTGGCTCCCGATGGGGTTGCCGGTCGATGTACCACCACCGTCGTCATCGCCCACCTCCTACACAACCACCGCCGCCCGCCCGCCGTGTCCCTCCCTCCAGGCGGGCGTGCCGCTCCTGTTCTGGACGTGCGCGAACGAGGTGACCCCCATGACGCAGGCCAAGCGCTTCTACCCGCTCTTCGCCATCCTCGGTAACCTGGGGCCCATCGCCTCGGGGCAGACGATGGCCTACGTCAGCCGCAACCGCCCGGCGGGGATGGACGCCGAGATGGCCTTTGAGCGCACGCTCAAGGTACGTAACCCTTGCACTAGCCCTAGCCCGCACCTTCTGCTGTTGCAAGTGTTCAGCGGCCTTCTCGAGGATGCCGTAGGTTGCGTAAGGTATAACACACCCCTGGGCCGATTTTCAAAGCTCGATTTCTCGGCAGGAAGAGCAGTGACGGCGCTTAGAATGGTGGAAGGCGTTGGAACCATCGCGTCGTCGAAAGCTTTCAGAAAACGTCTCATTTGAACTCGGCATGCTCTTCGTCGTGAGTAGTCGAGCTTTGAAAATCGGCCCAGGGGGTGTGTTATCTTGTGCAACCAATGGTATTTAGCTTGGTTTTATAGTAGGGGGTGCGGGGCGTGGTAATGGTTATAAGGGATAGGGATACGGATACACGAAACCCCCCTCTCTCGTTCATACGATTGATAGATTGATCATTAATTCGCTACGTAGGCCTTCCTAAGAATTGATCAGGTTTGGTTGTTGCGCTGGGCGGCGTGATCGGGTTTTTGTCCAAGTGGGGCGAAGAGCAGGAAGTTTGTTTTCGAGGGTGGCTGTGTTTGTTGCTCTGTTAGCACCGTGAGGGGTGGTGTTAAGGGCGTCTGTGTCTGTGGCAATGCCAGGGGAGGGAGGGGTGCCCTACTTGTTGGAGGTGAGTGACGGGATTTGCTACAAGATAAAGAGAGCTATAGACTACAAGGTTAGAGAGCTTTAGGCTCCTACTAGTGCTTACAAAGAAAACACGCAAGTCGGTGCCGATGTTTTCGAAGAAGGGTCCATGCTGCCTACATATTGTATCGCTGTGTCACGTTGTCGCCCTACGCTGCTACGCTACGGCCGTCTACTTTTTCGTCCTTTTTTTTTTCTTGTCGTGTCGACTGCTGTCTGCTATCGGGAACGGCGTGGGCTGTCGACTCACGCAGAACTACTACGTCTCTCGACTCCCCCTATGTCGAGTTCGACCTCTGCGCGCCACGTTGCCCCTTCCACGACTTACCGACCGGTGCCGCTATGTCTTGTCGACCCCCGTGTGCCCCCCCCCATCCCCCACTCTTGCGGGCAAAATGACACCGCGGGCATTGGCTGGGAATGCTTTGCGCCATCTATCTGCCCTAGATTCTGACGAGCCTGACTCTTGGAGCCGGAGGAAGCATCATGGTGCTGTACGAAGTGATCATGGCCATCAGCAAGAAGGAGGCCGAAGACAGTGAGTTTAGAGCTACTGCCTGTACAGAATAAATCTTCGAGTACGGTATAATTTTTTTTTGGGGTGAGCCTGTGACCACGGGAACCAACCGCGCTAAGGGTTAGATCAGTGCGGACAAAGGGAGGTACTGGAGAGAGAGAGATCGGGACGTTGTTAATGTGAAGACAACAACAACAGTACTCGCCACCGCCTTTCGTAAGAAATTGGGAGTCAAGGAACTGAGCCTAAGAGTCTAGAAAACTCAGCACAAGAAGTCAAGATGCAGTTAGAACTTGTCTCTTTCAGGACAGGTGCTCAGTTCAGGTTCCTACACTCAGACCTATATACAAAGAAAGACTCGAGCCCAGCCTCGGCAAAGGAAGTTTGTGTGAAGTACGGGCGCGCTCTGCATGGTTGTTGTTGTCCTTCTTGTCTTCGCATAAAAAAACGGTAGCTTGATCTGTTCATACTAGATGTTCCACCCTTTTTTTAGACGCAGACGTGGCGTACCTCACAGGGAGAAAAAGAAAAAAGCCTATCCTCGGACAAAGCAAGAGTTTATGAAGTGCCCGTGCGTTCTGAAACGTGTTTTTGATGCGGACGACGCTTGCTCCACATAGAGAATATGAAACAAGTCCCGGACAAAGCAAGAGTTTCTGTCTTCAGTGTGCGCGCGTTCTGCCTTGTGGTGTACCCTTTTATGGCGCAGACGATGCGCTCAAGAGCCCCAAGGAGCGGCGGCGCAAGCAGAGGAAGCTCGCCAAGGAGAAGGCCAAGCAGAAGATGGGACTCCTCGACTCTTTCCGCTTCCTCTCCAAGTCCAAGTACCTGGGCTACGTCGGGCTCATCGTGATCAGCTACGGGCTGTCGATGGAGTTCACGGAGATCGTCTGGAAGGTAACTGCTATCCCCCCCCCGCCCACGCCTCACGGGGTCCCTATCCGTTGAAGCACACAGGTTTGCAGAAAGCTCGGAGAAATTGCAACCGAGGCCTGTGGATACAGCAGCAGGTTTTCCATCATGAAGCAAGGTTGCAGAGTAGCAGTGACTTGGCTTGTTTGCTTGCCTTCGCTTGTTATCACTGAGTTGGGTGCAAGCTGCACCACAACACACAGCAGTAGTGCAGAGCTGTCTCCCTCATATTAGTACGCCCGGTGGTGGCTCCGACAGGGCAAGAAAACTGGATACATAGCTTGCTTAGTTATCCGTTAGTCGTTGTGAAAAACTACAAAAAAAAAGAACGCGGCAAGGAGGGTGTGGATGGAGCCTGTTACCCACAGGGGAGATTTCGCCATACGCTGCCCGTCAGGCTAAGAGTCGATCTTGCGATCCCTGGACAATCTCCGTGCCCCTACAATACTGCGCCGAGAACAACGCGTTGCATACGTGCCAATCGACCTTGCTTCTTGGGACCAGAGACACGGCGCCGGGCAGATTGTTTTTGAGATCTTCGCATGTCTGCCAATGTAACCGTCATTGACTTTTAACTTTGGGGGCGGAATTCTCGCTGGTAGGTGTGATACGCAACACTATGAAATCATTGCTGATCCATCCCCAAAACTTTTATCTGTGGAAGGAAGAGAAGAAAAATTGTTGTGTTTTGTAATACTAGAAAAAAAAAAAACGGGTGCCTCGCGCAAGCGACGAGAAATCAACCTCCCGAACCGGCCGTTCGATCGTCCTGAACCGGCCGTTCGATCGATGAATCTCCCGCAAACAGGCCATCGTGAAGCTGGCGTACCCGGACAAGAGCGACTACATGGCCTTCATGGGACAGTACAGCAGTATCGTCGGTGTGACGACGGCGTTCATGCTCCTGGTCGGCAAGGAGGTGATCAAGTACCTCGGGTGGGAGGTGGGGGCTCTGGCCACCCCCGTGGTGATGGCCGGCCTGGCGGTGCCCTTCTTCGGGTGAGTCGTGGCCTCTGTTGTGTATTAGAAAATGTACGTAAAATGGAAGAGACTACTCGTTTGAGATAATACCACAGCAGGCGAAGGGGACGTGTTAGAGTCTTCAGGGTTAGTGGGAAGAAAACCGGTTTGTGTTGTACCTTGCTTACCTTTGGCCTGGCCTGGTGGTGCTAACAATGGTACATGTACCTTGTAGTTGGTACTGCTGTACCTTTTGTTGTCGTTCCGTTCCGCGCTGTGCTGTGCTGTGCTGTGCTGTGTATCTTATCTTATCTTGTCATGTCGTTTTGTCGTTTTTTCCGGGAGTGAGCGTATTGCCTGCTTGTGTGTGTGTGTTTGTTCTCAAAGCTGTGTCGTGGTCGTTGTTGTTTTGTTGGCTGTGGTGCTGTCGATGACGGATATCTGCTGTGTTTTGACTCGCGATTGTTGTCTTGGCGCCGCTCCTGGCCGTCCTTTCCTCCTGTACTATGTCTCTTGCGATTATCCTGGGAGTACGCACTGAGCAGTGCAGTTTTTGGCGGCTCCCTGGGATTGTCACGAAACAAACATCACACGCTTCTGTGCTGCTACGAGTTCCTGCTCTCGCCTTGCCACTGACTCCCCTCTTCCTCATGCTACGTGACCTTATGCGTACGTTGTTCTTGTTTTTGGCGGTTTGGTCCCTTCGTCCCAAAAGGTACATCATCTTCGGAGATATCCAGCAGTCCAAGAAGGCCCTGATGATGGCGGTGTGGGTGGGCATGGTGCAGAACGTCCTCAGCAAGGCCACGAAGTACGCCCTCTTCGACCCAACTAAGGAGATGGCCTACATCCCTCTCGACAAGGAGTCCAAGGTGATTGATTGTTGATTTATGAGGGGGGGAGCGTGCATGTGTTTTGCTTGCCTTAGCGGTTAGGCAGGGCGTTGTAGCACGGGGTTCTGGCTACAGTAGTGGCTACGGTCTAAGAGAGGGTTGCGGTAGGGACAAGCCAACAACACTGTACCTCTCGAATCCGGTTTCTCCTTAACCCTGCTGTGTATTACAGTAGACGTATTTCTCATGATCGGGACAAGCAAAAATCACTCTCGTATATCCGATTTTCGCTTTATTATGCTGCCTTAAACCGCAGCCGCTGTAGAGCACGGGGGGCTGGCACGTATCACCTCCGCGGGGACAGCCGCCTTCCCCCCGAACCTTTTCTTCATGCGTCGAGTTTAATACTGTTTTTCTTTCACTTGTTCCGTCTTGATTTTTTTTCTCATGAGCTCTCTCTTGTTTCGATGCGTTTTATCTCAAGGCTAGGAACACGAAACAAATGCACATTTACGTGCTGTACACTCTTTAAACCTCCTTTTATTTTTGTGGCTTGTCTTTTTTCCCCCACAAATGTTGTAGTGCTTGTTCTGTTCTTTGTGCTTGTGTAGTGCGTGCGACGGTGGGTTGTTTAGGTTCACGCGTTCGCTCTCTCTGTCTCGTTTCTCGTTTCGATCCTTTCATTTCTTGTTTCGAGTCCCTCTGCATCTCCTCTGGCGTGTCTTACAGTGCACTCCCGCTTCTGCTGCTGTCGTGCGTTTTTTGTTTGCGACGTATTACTTTTTTACAGGTGAAGGGCAAGGCCGCCATCGACGTGTTGGGGGCGAGGCTGGGCAAGTCGGGCGGAGCCCTCGCACAACAGGGGCTGGTGGTGGCGTGTGGATCAATCCTGACGGGAGCACCGGTCCTGGCCACCCTGTTTGCCATGGTGAGCGAGACAATCTTGTCTCTGAGGGAGCGAGACAAGTTGGGCGCGTACTGTAGTCATGCTGTTGTTGTTGCTGCTGCGGCTGCTGTTCGTTGGGTGTTGTTGCTGCTGTTGTTGACGGTTTTGTGTTGTGGTTGCAGTCGCTGCCTTGACGACAAACAACGCTTGAAACCCCACCTACAGCAGTAGCAGTAGCAGTAGTATTACGTCCTCGTTGGCCCGTGGCAGTGTAAGCGGATTGAACCAATGCATGACGTTGACTGCTGTATATACGTCCCCGTTGTTTCTCCCAACTAATATACACTCCCAGATTGTGTTTTGTGTGGTGTTGCGGTATCCCCCTGCCCCCTCACCCAAACAATGTTTCTGGAGTTACCGTGGGTCGTCCATGCAAACCCGGAGATAGTCTAACACCCCATTCATACGCTCACCTCGATGTCGTCACAAAAAGAGCCTTCAACATGCTAACACAAAAACAAAAATGCTGCACATGTCACGGAGAGCATGCTGTTCTTGCAGGTCCAAACACAAGTTTCGTGTCGCGTACAGCTTAACAGCGTGAGGCCTACCAAAACGTCTGGCCGTTTTCAATTCTAAATTTTACGTACCTTGTTTTTTTCCTCCCCGCATCTATTTACACAGGTGTCGGCCATGTGGATTACTTCGGTGGTGAATCTGGCGAAGCTGTTCAGGGTGCGCCAGGCCGAGGCAGAGAAGGCGGCGGCCGAGGGACACCGATGAACCAGCCAATCAGAGGCACCCGTTCGTTCTGCTGTGCCATCTCTCCCTGGGTGTTGAATTTTGACTGGAGTACATCGGTTCGGGGGGGGGGCGCGGAGGGTCATAGCTTGCGCGTCACGCGTTTGTTCGGCCTATTTAGAGTGGGTTGATGGGTCATGCGATGACCGATGCTCGTGTATGTAGAGTGGGTCGATGGACATCTGCAGAAGCGGGCGCGTGCCCTTGTTGTTCATGTCGTAGAATCGATCGGTTTCGCTGTTCCGACCGGTGATGGTCGTTTCTGGTGCTTGTGGCCAAAGGAGACGATACGGTACGGGCCAACAAACTCAGTGCGACCACTGTCCCGAGGGTGGACGGGGCTACTACACATGCGCAGAGCGAGATTTGATGCTTGATTTTGTAGGGGGTCAATCCCAACCCCCCATCGAGGCATTGTCATTGTGCTTGGTCAACCGGGTGTTGGTTGGAACCTTTTGACCAATGCCTTGCGCCGTAGAATACGTTCCACTTTTCCGTATCGTAGATTTATCTTACTTAGTAGGTGGGTATAGCAAGTGGTTCAGGTTAGGCTAGGGGTTGGTGTGATGTGACGTTAGCTGGTCGCGTAACACCTTGGGTGTGCTCGGGAATGTGGCGGGAGCCACGGCTCTCTTGGAAGCATTTCATGAGCTCTATATAGTGTAGATGACCTCAGTCTCTAGAGGGTAAACCACGGATGTGTGCATGTCGTCCGTTTTCGCGTGGAAAGCGTGAATATGAAGAAGCGCCTTCCTCCGTTCATTTGCGTGCGTCCAGGCTGGGACTTGAGCAATCGAGAGCAGCCGCTTTCGAAAACACACAAAACAGACCAAAGTGTTTGCCCCCTATTTTGCTCCTAGTCCGAGAGAATGATGTGTGTTGTCCCTCTCTCAGTGGCGGTGCACTCTGACGCCTTCCACCCGGGTTTTCGCGGGTCGGGCAAGGCGGCGACAGGAAACATTCACACAATGCGCCGGACAAGACTAGGCAGAAAAAAACGGGTGCCCTCAGGATGAACCGTTCACTACTACCCCGGTCATCCTCTGGGAAACGTTTTGAGTCGTGTATGCCTTTGAACATCTACTTCCTCTTTCCAGATTTGTTGCCGTATGTTCCGTGTGTTCCCGACCGAACCATTTAAGTTTTCCTTCAAACGGCGGAACGAGGGATGTGTACGTTGCCGGCAGCGTTTGCAAAGCGAGGACCGCATAGCGTCTATCTCCTCCGGCCAAAGCGAGTTGGGTGCTGCAACCCCTTCTTCCTGTGTCTGCCTCCAAACAGCCTTGTTGTGACGACGGCACCAAGCTCTTCTCTGCAAGCCAAATGACAACGGGTGATTGTGAAAAGAGATGAAACGAAAATCAATGCGGTCCACTTCTCTCTGCCTCTCTAAACCTTTTGGGCAGACATTTCAGCGAGCGCGATCCGCCTCCAGCATGAAGGCAGGGAGTCGGTCTGTGCATACAAGCCATGGAAAATACGGTGGCTTGCAGACTTGCTTCTTGTAAGTAAGTGCTTCGTTCAGCGCAAAAACAAAATCACGAGTCTTCATTGTGCGGCGTGCACACTCACTCTGCACGACAAACTAACTAAAGTAATCGCGCAAGACCGCCCTCTCTCTAAAAAAAAACAAACAGGTAAAACACGAACAACATGTATGTACCATTATTTTCCACAAAAGAAACAAGAGACCGAGCGCAAGCAAGCGCACCAAAAAAAATCGCTCGACCTTCTTCGTATATACCAAGCGCTACAAAGACTAGCTGTGATGCCCCGTATTCTGCTGTGATGCCTGCCTTGGGTCGTTATGGCACACACGTTCAACATATGCGCCGCCAATCTCCGAAACTCACTCGCTATTATTGCAACTCTTGCAACTCTACGAGACGGGGGGCAAGAACCACAAACACCAGCCTACTTTTTCAGCGGAATCATTCTGTACGAACCAACAACGCCCCGACGTCGGCATCATGGGGCGCCACCTCCACGACACAATCATGCCAGGCACGGAGAACAACACAGCGGTAGAATAAAAAACGGTTCGCCCCACGGCTTCATCCATTTCGAACCTCTCCCTACCTCTTAACCCATCTAGTACGATAGAATCTCTCCCTACCTCGCGAAACACTCCACAACGACAGAACGATGCGCAAGATCTTTTTCGATCATGCCCCGTCTCTTCTCCCCTCCCCTCTCCTCCCTTCCCCCTCCCCAACAGGCCGACAGACGACACATACTTGGCGATTGACGGGGGGGGGGCTCCGTGACAAAGAATCTGGGTGTGGGCAGGGCTCGTAGTAGCCTCTCTGGCCCCATCCCGCTGAAATGTCGGTCCGACCTACTCCTCCGTTTGTGTTTGGTCTTACAAGCCAACACCAGACCATGGACAAAGCGGGTATGTCGCGAGCGATCACACGCTTTCTCCTCCAAAGCGAAGGATGGGGTACACCTCACATCGTCATCGGTCAAGCGGGGGGGGGGGGGGGGGAAACCAACAAAAGGCCTTCCAAAACAAAAAAAAAAAAAAAAAAAAGGGGGGGTTTTTCAACCAAAGGGGGCCAACCCCCCGGCAAAAAAAAGGGTTTTCCCCCCCCCAAGTCCCCGGTTTCTTCAAAAAATTAACCCCGGCGGGG